CTAATACTAAACAACTGGGTGATACTGGTGAAGTAACCTCACCTCACTATTCCTTAATTTGCTCATTTTGTGGAAGGGTGGTGACACCTGCCTAGCCATCGCCCAAGACTGTCATGTATGTAAAGCAGCAACAACAAAACAAAACAAGCAAAAAGGAATGAGTGTCTTTGGAACACTGTAAAATGCCATACAACTCTTAACTGTTTATTATAATTATTCTCTAAGGTGCTGGCCAGAGTGTATTAGTCTCAGTAACCAATGGAAGTTTCAATGGTATTGGGAAGAACTGTCTAGCAAAACATTTTTGATTCTTGTATGAAACTAAACAGCGATACCATTTTTATAAGTCAGGTTATGAAAATAACTGTGCTGGAACATGGAAATAAACTTCTACAAATAGACACTGATTGGAAATGGATTCAGACTCTAGAGGTATATATCTCTATATCTATCAGTCTATCATCTATCTATCTATCTATCTATCATCTATCTATATCTATCATCTATAGATAGAGAGATAGATATCTCTAGAAGTATAGAGGTATATATCATCAGGTGGCAGGATTTATTTATCTTCTACCAGTTGGAAGAATATTAAGGAACAAGGTGATCAATGGAGAAAGAAAGAATTTGAGAACAAAATAAATTTTGGATCAGGGTCAGCTCCTTTAATAGCTGTGTGATTCTGGGCAAATTATGCACCTTCTCTGACTTCAGTTTTCTCACCTATAAAATGAGTATAATAATATAATAAAATGAGTATAATAATATTTAAGTTGCAAGGTCAGATTATATTGTTAGGTAACATAAAGTGCCTAGTGCAGAGCCCGGTCCAGTGGCAGGCACTCAATGAATATGAGCTATTACGATCTCACTTTGCCCAGTTCCTCTCATAGTCTATATACTTGTTTACCTATATTTTCCCTATCCCATTTCTTTCTTGAATAGTCTGTCTTGTAGCCTCCCTGTATTTACCAGACTAACCTGCACATAGACTCCTTTAAAATGTTTATTTAAACTCCATATTTCCTTCATTATGTCTGCCTGGTCATAATAAAATCACTCATTCTTCATCTTGTGTTAGAATCACCTTATTGCTCCTGTAAAGATATGCTATTCAATTTATCGTGTGAATACTTAGGATGCCTCACACACCTGCTGACCCCAGAAGTAATCATAAACATGAAACAACATAGAACCATGGGAAAAAAATAAAAAAGAAATGAGAATAGAAGAGTTAAAGGGAACTTTAAATAGAAACGACCATCCTAAGATTTAATGTTGTATAATACATTCATTTTCATTTTTATATATAGACAATTTTCAGGATAGAAACTTACTTCTCATGACTAGTAAAATAAATATAATTGTTGGTACCCTACTGAGGAAATCAGAGAGCCTTTCTAACTTCCTTATTCCATTTCTTGAGAGTATGACAGAAACAAAATATTCAATGACAAATACTACTTTTTGTTTTCCTGGATGGAAAAAAGTAACCCTGAATAGCTGTGTCTGAAGATTATCTGTAACTTTTTAGTATGTTGTGTGCATATGCATGAATGTGACTTAACTTCTCTTTCTTCAGTAATTCCAGCCTTTCTCCCCTTCTCTTTAAAAGGATGGTTGCCCTTCTTGTCCTAGTGAAATCCTCTATGTCCAGTTAAATGTAACTTCCTCTGGGAATTCTGATATTACCTATGGGCGCTCCCTCCCCACCCCAACACCAAGTAGAAATAGTTTATCTTTCTCCTGTGTGTCACAACATCTTGTGTATATCATTAGGCTCCTTAGCAATTAAGGTCTCTACCTTCTACATACTCCTGAGACATAGCACAATGTCTGGAATATAGCGGTCATTTCCTGTATGAATTTTGACTGAAGGCAGTAGATAATTGAGCCCGTCTTCCCCTTATTTCCTATCGATCTTAAAGTTTGCAGTGTGTGACAATGTGGTGCTCTTTTAAGAGTTGGGGAAGTTGGTCAGAATTGGGGATGGTGTTGGAGGAAAGAAAACCATTTCGCTTCCCCTTTTCATCTTCCTTGTGTTGTTATTATGTTTAATTAGATCACAGAAATTTCCATTCCAATCTTTAGAAAAATATTTTGTCAGCATTGAGTTAGAAAAGGATGAATTTGGAATAATTCTTAAACATCACACAGAGCACTGTGCAACAGCCTATGTCTACTTTCTCCAGCAAAATCTTGAGGCTTTTTTAAAAAAGACATTGTCTTTATCTTTCCATGGTGACTTATGAGGCATGTTTAGGAAAATTTTATTTTAAAGGTCAGAGATTCCAATAGAGCCAGCCAAAATTTTGTGAAGTTTATAGAGTGATTAATTCCTGGAGTCCTTCATTTTCCAGCCCTTTAATTTGTGCAATCACATTGAATGTTCAAAGTATATACTGCTTTTTAAAGTCTTTCAAATACTCTGCCGAGTCACAACTGGCAATTCATAAATAGAGCTGATTAACATTCCCCACCACAAAGATCCTTGAAGGAAACTACAAACAAAAACAGCATCTTTGTTGAATCCAATTTGCTTACATTTCAACACACATAACTCCACTTAACTGGCCATCACAGCAAAAGCCACAACACACACACACACACAGAGCAGCATGGAGCTAACCACACAACTCAACAGACAATGCAGACAAACTTGAGTATAAACCAAGATTTTTCTACCTCTTTTCATAACAGGTTAGTGCTGGCCCTCAGTGTTGGTGTACAGTTTTTATGGCATGGGAAAATAGGGATGTTTCTGCCCTATAAAAATAAATGTGTTGAAGGCTTTAGTTTGAGCTCACACAACGTCAGAAAGTTCCAAAGGCACTGGCACAATAAAAAAAAAAAAAAAAAAAGAATCCCACAAACAAATATATCACCAAAATATCACCAAAACACATGGCAAGATACTAAGAAAACAGTGGTAGGAAAACTACTGGTTTCCTGGATGATTTATGCAACAGTTTTCAACACCTTCCTGAAAAATAAAGCATAAGAGAGGCATGCTGGTGGGTCTTTGGTGGGGCATATCTTGTCACCAGCCACCATTCATACCAAGTCTTTGGCTTTAAACTGCTCATTAGGTCATTTTCTCCCTGCAGAAGTAGAAAGCACAGAACCCTTATTGTTCTTTATCTTTTAAGCTTTAGGAAGGGCTAAGAGAAAGAGCATGTAGAAACGCATGCACTATCTTTAAGAAAGAAAGGGATACATGGAATAAAAATAAAAATACAAAAAATATCATTTCTTCATTTTATATGTCATAATATACACTTCTTTCCAAACCTTAGTTTGATACGTGTGGTTTTTCATGGATGACATCTTTACTCTAGAAAGAGTTGGGACAGAAAGATAAGCAGGAAGCACAAAGTTCTGAATTTGAATAAAGACAATACTTTCGTTGTTACATCAAAGGATGCAAGGTGAGATATGGGGTTAGAAATTAGGAAATTTTCTGAATTGGACTTAATGATTTGTAATTCCTCAAAAAAACAAAACTTACCACATTCTGTGCAAATTTCTCAAAAGATGTTCTGCGATCCATTGAGTGTTCCGACTTACATGAGTGGGGTGGGATGGGGCAAAGGGAACTAGGGAACATAGATAAAAGGAAAGCAAAGAAAACAGAGCGGAGAAAGACAGGATGATGAAATGACGCAACAGCAAATCCATGTTCTAAATCAAGGGACCAGGAAGGTAGGAGAGCTGCCAAAGAATTTGGACGCTAGACACAGGGCACAGGCTCTGTTTTTATTAGTACTTTTATTTTTAACACCAAAACTCTTCCTGTGCAAACAAAATGGTATGGTTTCAAGCAAAATAAAATGACACTAAAATGAAGTAGATATGTGAAGGTTTTATGCTGACACGTGTAAATCCTACATATTTGAAAATCTCGTGGAATATTTTCTGAATTTCCTCATAATGTTCTGTCAGGACTAGATTTCTATTGATTACATTGATTCTGTAGAGCACTTGTGCCCAACAGAACTTTCTGAAAAGACGTGAACTTCATTCTATGTTGTCCAATATTTCAGAAGCCTTAAGCTGTGGCCATTGAGCACTTGAACTCTGGCTAGAATTTTATGTACTTGTAACTAATTTAAATTTAAATGTAAACAACCCCATGTGGCTAGTGCAGCTGCACTGGGCACTTGCAAAGACAGTGTGTCTGCAAAGACGAGGTATCTGCAAAGACAGGGTATCTGCTTCCTGCAAAGACAGGGTATCTGCAGAGGCCATGGACTTTGAAAACTCCTGTTAGCCTAGATGACAGTCATGAATCACACAAAATTACAATTTAATCTCAAAATTTCAAGAAGTTATGGACTATTTTAACATTAAAAAATAATGAATAGTGTTGATTTTTATATTCAGATTTTCCATACTCTGCTTTATTGTTTACACTGATTATAAACATTAATTGAATAATGAGGTCTATTGCAGCTCTTCCAAAATGTGTTTGGCTACCTTCTTAGGTGTGTAAAATTTATCCTAGGGGTACTAAGTAATCCAGGATAAATATCAAATTAAAATATTCTGAAGCAAACATTACTACATTTTGACAAACTCTCATTGAAAAATATGAGTCTATATTTAGTTATGGGGTATGTGGCCAAAAACACACTTGAGCTTACTGGAAAGAGAAAACCCCCTTCAAGTTTTTGACCTAATGATGTTCTTTCCTTTTCACTATTGTAATTTTTATTTCCTTAAACTAGACATACAGAAGACTAACATGAAACACGAAAACAGCTTCTAAAAAACGTTGTAAAGCATGAACATCTGCAGAAACAAACAAAACGAAAAAGAAAATAAGCAATCAACAAACAAAAACACCTTAAATGGCCCTTATAAAATGCAAAGGTTTGGGGAAGGTCTTGGAGTTTGTTCACTTACCATTTGTCCAATACCCTGGGCTCAGCAGAAGGAACTACTCCATATAATTACAACTGAGAACCAGATCGAAAAAGGTCACAAAGAACCAATACCTTTTTCTTTGCCTGTAGAAGCTCTTGATAGGCACTGGATCTTATAAAACGTGGGTATGAATCACTTTTCATCAATTTGTAAATGTGCTCCTAAAAAGAAATAATGGTTGAAGTGCTTCTTTATTATTTCTCAGGGAAAATCAAATACTGTGATAAGAATATAGGATATGGTCCAAAAACAAATCTGGAAGCAGCTAAAATTAATAATGATAAGGTTGATGAGAATACTTTGTGTTTACAGAACATCTAAATCTTCAAATTTATTATTTTATTCATGGGTCAATATTTGAACTGGTTTGAGAGCTACAGAGGAGGCAAATCACATCCAGTCCTTTAAAAAAATGGAATTCAGTTAATGGAATGTCATGAAGTGATTTCAAATCAAGCGGTTGATTTATATAGGTCATTTGAGAATATAAATCTGCTATCTCTTAAAATTATTCCAGGCCAAAAGTGAATGATATGAAGTCAAGATCAAGTAATCATCCTAGATACCTTTGGCATCTACATATACTTGGAGGATGCAGACTGCCCAGATGAATCATCTCTTCGGTGCAAATTATATGGAAAATTGTCATCCACATCCACTCTGGGCCAGAGCACAAGTCCAAAAATAAGTTTTGTGATATATAATTGCTAAATCTCCCAATTTGTATGCTTTTTAAAAAAACTCCTTTAGTGACAGATTTGGTAAATATTTAATAATTTAATCCTAATCAGTCAGCTGCATTTTATCTTGATAATGAATATTGGTAGGCAAAGAAGTCAAGGAAAAAAAATGTATTCATCCAATTCACTGCTGGCCCAATCTAGGGTGATTCTGCTCTGGCCCACTGCAGCTCAATGGAGCATAAATACTCCATCCTTTTAATCTAGTGAAATACCAGTTAGATACAGAGAGTATCCTCGATGTCCCAATCTCTTTTTGTTTGCAGAGAATATATATTTTAAGAAATTATTCTGTTTCCCTGGTCTCAAATACACCTGCAATAATTGGAGTTACTCTTGTTCAATATCTAGCCCAAGGCTCATCTCCAAGAGTATGGTACATTAGGGACCCTATCAGAATATATTGTTGGAAAAGTGGGGTGATGTCTTACTTTGGAGTCAAGCATTTTGGGATTCAGATCTTATTGTGCTCAAGACCTGCCACCTACAAACATATAAATTTAGGCTGATTTATCCATCTTTCTGAGTCTTGGTGTTCTAATCTGTAAAATAAGGTTGTTGTGAGGATTAAAGGGATGATATATGTTTAGCAAAGAAGGGGGGTATGCATAGTAAGTGCTCAGATCTACTTGAATATATGCCAGGCACACATCCAGTGCTTGCCTATATTAATTTAATCCTCACAAAACCTCAATGAGGTTGGGAACCATTATTATACACATTATTATATCCGTATGTGTCTTTTCTTAAATAATGCTAGGAATTCCTATTACTATATTTTTGAAGATGAGGTTAAAACCCCAGCAAAAACTGGAGTTAAATATCTGAACTTAACTGAAAAAGAAGCCCAGGGTCAGGTGGTAATATTTTCCATAGAAAATTATGCCTTTTCATTTTATTGAAGACCTATTAAGCAAGAATATTTTTAATGCCACAGATAACAAAGAAATGTTCCTTTTAAGACTTTAGGAAGGTTATTCCAAACATTTTACACATTGTTGGCTCTAGAAAAATGCTTGAGGGGCGCCTGGGTGGCTCAGTTGGCTAAGCGACTGCCTTCGGCTCAGGTCATGATCCTGGAGTCCCGGGATCGAGTCCCGCATTGGGCTCCCTGCTCGGCAGGGAGCCTGCTTCTCCCTCTGACCCTCCCCCTCTCATGTGCTCTCTGTCTCAAATAAATAAATACAATCTTTAAAAAAAAAAAAAAGAAAAATGCTTGAAATTTTATCTTGAGCTGAAAGAAAGATAAATCAGCGAGAAGTAAGCAACAAGGCTAGAATTTCCATTCTGCTCTCTCTCATGTGTCTCTGTAATTATTCCCACATAGAAGACCATGGCAGAGACAGAGAGAATGGGTATCTGGTTAGCTGTTTCAACCTGTGTTAGTTTTCTATACCATGGCTTGTTTCTTTAAACCAAAGCCAGGAGAAATGTACTTTCCACTGAAAATGCAAATAAGGAAGGGCGTGTGTGTGTCTTATTCTTCATCTTCTATATTTTATTTAGTAATGTGGTTATCTGAAAAACAAGATACTTTATAGAACTAATATTCTTCTCTAGAAGAGGTTTGAAAAATTAAGAAGTATGCATGTTCCGACTTAAAAGCCAATTTCAACACATCATCAGGAAAACAATATCCTCTCATCTCAAGTTAATTTTTCTTCTTGAGCACAATTTTTTTAGAGAAAGTAGAAATTCAGATTGTGTCTAAGGAGGCAATTATGTCCAGTTTGAAAAAAAACACTAAGAAAATTAATATCTTAACATAAATTTGTCTTAGGAAATTAATATCTTAATATAAATTTCTTTTTTTTCTCTTCACAGATTAAAAAGTTAACTTGGAAAATTCATACATGCCTAAATCTATTATTTCACTGTATCATCAAAGAACTGGCTTGAGTGTGATCTAACTTTAAGCTACTTCAGTTTAGTTCTGACTAGTCACAATAATGAATAATTTAGGAGTGTCAGAATCTTAGAATCTCCACATTGGAAGACACCTTAAGATTTCAAATATGTGCTACTGAGGTGGGGTCATTAGATAAGTGTTTTCTCATATACTGGGTGACAAAGTAAAAATGAAGTAAAGGTGTTCAAATATTTCAACCATTCCCCTTCAAAAAATTTTCACATAAAAACTTTCAAATTTAGAAGACATTCCCAGATTCTAGAAACTGTTCATTTTAATGTGTCTCTGTTTTCTTTTAAGTCAGTTGGAGTTATTTTACATACGGTTACCTAAATTGAAAATATTAAGCCTAGCTGCCAATTAAATGAAAATAAAGCAAAACTATCTCAAATGCCAACTTCCCGGGAACACATCTGTGAGCTCCCATACTGTGAGGTCCACCCACATACCAACCTGAGCATCTTCGAATGTGTATCGTCCAGGCTCCTTCACATTCTGTGTGGTTTTGTCATAGCTCTTAGAATCCAAGTTAATGGCACTGGGGGCTCCTGGAGCCAGAAATTCTTGCCATATTTCCTGAACTCGGGAAGGGACTTCTCTAATAGGCCTTTTCTTCAGGTCCTCCACTGCTAGCCAGAATCTATGCAAAATGAGACATGCAGCAATAACTGTGATACCTCATAGTCTGTGAATTCTTACAATATTGACTGACCATACCATTCACGACAATACATAATAATGAGCTCCTTTTTTTCTGAGGGCTTCCAATATATGGCCTTTTTTTTTTTATTAGTTATATTCAAAGATATCAAAGTTTTCAAAAGGAAATATTGGAAAACAATCTCTTTTGTTTGTTGTTGAAAGCAGATCTCCCAGAGCCCTGATTCTTTACACTTTAATTTTTAGTAGAGCAAAATAGCACTGCTAAAGAACCATTTATTAGAAAGGAAGAGGAGTTTGAAGGGAATTACAGTGACTGACATAGAGCATCTGCTTGGGGGATAAAGTAGGGCATTATACTGTATGCTTTGGATCTTTTGTCCATTTGAGCAATGAGGGTTAGTACGGAGAGGATTTTCTGCTCTACCTGGCAAGGGAATTATAGTGAAGCTTTACTGGAATTAAAAGAGGACTGGACACAAGATCAGAAAAGGCCCCTAGATGGAGAAATCGGGGCAAGTAACTAATTTTAGTCTATTTAATTCAGAGAGTTATGGAATGACAGAAGCAACAAGCTTTCACATGCCATTGTTTTAAAGGTTTAAATTTGCAGAGGCATTATAGCAATTCAGAAGCTCTGAAAAAACAAATATATACTGACTTACTTCTGAATATATAAATATATTTTATATACTTCTACAAAGAATATTTATACTGTAAGGAAAGAACACCAGAACATATTTTGGTTGATAAGAGCAAATAGCAAAGTCATTTCTTTAAATTTTGCTCTATGTTATATGTTTTGGTTAGAACTAGAAATAATGTTGAAAAGATGAATATGTATATCATTATAATTTAAAGTGAAAAAAATACATGAAAAAGGAACTACTAGGTCTATGTTATCCACAACATGGACCATTATCTCTCTAATGGCAGATGTAGTCATGCATGAAATGGGCAAATGGCCACAAGGACGAAGGTCACTATAGGCTATAGAGTCTTAAGAGGTATATGACAAGCAGAACCTTCAAAATTACTAAGTTTTAACTTGGGCATTAATGAAAGGTCAGAAATAAGCAATAAAAGAGTTGAACTAGAGTTAGAATAGCAAATACTACTCAATCTAGTGAGTTTCCAGTTCCTAGAGATCATTTTCCTGTACATATATGTAACAGTAGATTTACTGTTGTTTACTACATATATGTAACAGATTTAGACAATGCCTTACAGATGAAACTACCATTACTGCTTTCAGAAGGGAAGGCTCAAGACCATTTCCTCCAAAAACAAGAGATTTGGACACTGTGCAATTTTGTTTCTTAAAAAGATTTTATTTATTTATTTGACAGAGAGAGACACAGTGAGAGAGGAACAGAGCAGGGGGAGTGGGAGAGGGAGAAGCTGACTCCCAGCAGAGCAGGGAGCCCGACGTAGGGCTTGATCCCAGGACCCTGGGATCATGACCTGAGCCGAAGGCAGATGCTTAACAACTGAGACACCCAGGCGCCCCTGGACACTGTGCAATTTAGGAATGCCATGTGCCATCTGAGGGAGCATAAATGTTGTAATCAATGCTCATTCAAGTTCATTCCAGCATGCTTTTAACACCTTAATCAAAAGAATTTTTCTGTCCTCAAAGAACTGCTAGAGAAAAAGATGCACCATTCAAATGGCTGCCTAATATTAGGAAGCCCAGGAGGGGCTCTTGAGGAATAGCGCAAATGACACCGTGTGGGAGTGCAGAGCAAGAAAGAGCCTTCTGCTGGGCAAGCACTGGGCTGAAAAAGGGAGTTCTAGGAAAGCTGTTATAGATGCAGTGATATCTTAATGAACTTGAAAGTACAGACAAATTAATAAAGGGTTGAGGAGGTATTAATAACAACATCTACTCTAATATATAAGTGCAGGCACTGTTCTAAATGGTTTAGCTCTATTAACTCATGTAGTCCCTACAACTCTAGAGTATGTGCTATTATTTTCTCCATTTTCAAGAAAAGGCAACTGAGGATATGGAGATTAAGTAACTTATTTAAGGTTGCCCACTATGAGTGTCATAAGTTGGGTGAGTTTCATAGCTAGGGTTTGCCCCTGGATAATTTGCAGAAGATGACATGCTTCATCTGACCACTCAGATGGCATTTGACCACTCCCTCAAATGTCTCCCTAAGAGCATCATTGCCTTTCTTGTTCTTGACCTTACTGTAGGTGCTATAATAAGTTAGTAGAATGGAAAGGATTCTGGTAAAATCCCACCCCCCCTTAATATACAGTAGGTGGAATACGAATAAGTGTTTTAATGCCTTTGAGTCTTAAGTTCTTCATCAGTAAAATGGGATGATAATGTCTATCTCCATAGGTTTCCATTAGATTAAATAAGATAAATAATGTAAAAGGCACTTTTGAGTGCCTGACATATTTTTAGACACTCAACAACAAAACTCATGTTACTATGTTTACTTAGTACTTATGCTATGCTACGTGCTTTACCTGAAAAAGGAATGAGCAAAAACACACCAGTGGATAGCAGAGGTTATATCTGAGAAAGAAGTAGTCATCAATAAGCAGTATTTCTTGACTTTTTTCTGTGTTAATACTTGAAGAAAATGCTCATATGAGTGTCTCAGTGTGTAAAGAGCAGGTGCTTACAGGCAGCTGCTTGATAAGATGCACTGAGACTTATTTAAGCTCAATTAGCCCTACCAGCAAACTGGACTGTTCTGTTTCCCTTAATCTATTACACCAGATACCTAAGTGGAAGAAATGGGGCTCAGATTTGGGGAGCAATGGAATGTAGCCTGTATTGGTTTATAGAAAGCCGTGAATGCCAATTACTAGCCAATCTGACTTGGACAAGATGATTACCTTCCCCCAGACATATTTTGCTTATTTGAAAATGGGGCAAGAATGTTTGCACTTCATTTTTGTTGTGATGATTAGGTGTGTGATAATCAGAAATAGTGAACACAAAATATAGCATGGCATACTTACAGCAGTAGTGGATATAACTATAATATAATGTACATATAAAATATGTCATATTTTTTATACGAAATGACTTAGCTCGAAAACTAGCATGGCATAGAATTATTGAGGTTAAGAAATGGTTAAGGTTTGAACCAAGGAATCAGCATTCAATTCATCCTTGAAACAGAGTTTGCACATACTCTTTCCTTTGCCCAAAGCTTCTTTCCTCTTCCTTTTAGTGGATGGGGAGGTGGAATTTTGGCCTGGTTATCTCTTGACATCCAGGTCATAGCCTAAAGCCATTTCCCCTGTGATGCCTTGCTGAACTCCAGCTCTGGGTTAACTATCTGTCTATACTTCTCCGATCTAAATAACCACCATTTTGTGCTGTGATCTCTTTTCTTCTCTGTATCCACCACTAGAATCATTTTTATTTGGTTAGGTGACCCTGGTGAGGCTTATTACTTGTTTATTTCTTCATCATGATACCAAGGATGTCAGCACTTATTTAAAAACTTAGAGAATTAGAGGAAATTCTACCTCCCCATCCTCTAAAAGGCTAAAAAATATTCTTTATCTCTGCTCTATTTTTTAATGCATTCTTATACTCAATAATTGATGATGTGGCCTCAATGTAAAAAAGAATCCTTAGCAACTGTAGATCTTGTAATAACCCTGTCAAAAAGGGTTTCCATAAACTTGAAAGAATAGGAAGCTACATCCCAACAATTCATGACAAGCACACATATATAATAACATTCCTCCAGGTTCCGTCTGTGGTTATCTTGCTTAAACCATAGGACATCTGTCAAAGTTCTACATTATTTCTGAATGGTTTGGTATTGGTATCTGTTAAATCATCTGAAAAGAATGTGACAATGCCTGGAGCTGTATGTAGTGTTCCAATGAAAATAAATGAATGCTGAGACCTTTCTGTAAATGAATTTCACAGGACTGCATAAGTCATGGGAAAGTAAATTAGGGTATCATGTTTCAAAAGAATAATGAATGAAAGAGTTCATGGAAAAACATTTTTATGTAGTGGAAAGTTATCACTCACTTCAATGATCTTAAACAGAGTCACTAAAATCTATTGCAGTGTCTCACATTTAAAAATTCAATTTCCAGGTGCCTCTTAAGTTAGAAAAATTTCAAAAATATGTAAGGATGATGTTCACAACAGATGGGTGGAATGCACACCCCTCTTCTACTAACAGCTCAGTGTGGTATGGATCTCAACTGCCCTGAGGCTGCATTTAAATGTGCAAAGTGAATGAGCTGCCCCATAGTTTTGTTTCAAGTTATTTTTCATAGGCACCCAAATCTCTTTTCCTAGACCTTACTTAGGAAGCAATATGCAAAGAAGACTAATATTGATAAATAATAATTTAACTGCATAAATATTATTGGCCATTCCTCATTTGCCAAACATTAGTCCAAGTATTACACTTCTTTATGGAGTCCATTTCAAATGCATCAAATTTATATACTTAAAAGATCAAGAGATAGTGTAAAAATAAACCATTATGAGGGATTGATAATCCTGGACAGGCTTTGCCTTTTTTTAGCTTTTTTCCCTCTATCAAGAGGCAGAAATTCAATGGGTTCATATCATCATCATGTTGGTTAGAGAGTAACTGATCTATTTAGTGCAAAACAACCAGACATATTACAGTAGGTCTCTCTGACATAGAATAAGATACAAACAGTGTGTCTTACCTTAAATTTTCTGAGCTGAATTCTGACTCTAGAAATTTAAGGAACTGTTCTCTCCCAACTGGGTCTTTCAGTGCTTCATCCATGCCAAAACCCCATCGTTTTACCCTCTGCTGGCTTGGTTCTTTGCTTTAGGAGATAAAACAAAGCCAAATATATTCCTTTCATTACCAATTCTATCTTCTGTGATTACATTTCCCTTCAGAATCATATATACTGGGGAAGTTCCCATCTTTAACATATCTTTCAGAAAAAAATATCTGTGACTGATGGTTTTGCATGAAATTTTATTGAGGCATATGTTAGGCATTAACAGTGGTGTCTAATGTTTATTGAGCATTAGGTGCTTAGTGCTCTAGATGGATTCTCTCTTTTAGATATTTTCCTGCAACTTTATGAGACAGGTACTGTTATGTTCTCACTATTAGATGAAGAAATCAAGGCACAAAGAGAGTTATAACTTGCCAATGTCTGCGAGATAATACGGGGCAATATTCTAGACATTTTGACCTCAAAGCTCATTTCTTAGCCACTATACAATGCAGTCTTGAGGTGGTTTGTTGTACTGGGGGAAAATGCATTGGGAACCAAAGGCCTCAATTCTGGTTATGAGTCTGCTGTTGATGAAATGTGTGACCTAATCCTAGCTGAGTCACAACATTCTGGGGCCCAAATTCCTCATCTATAAAATCTAGAACTTATGGATGAAGAATTTGCACTTGTCAAACATTTAAGAACACTGGATGGGGGTAAAAGAAAGAAAAGGTCCATAAACACAGTTTAGTGAAGTGCCACTAAGTACAAAATCCTCACTCTGTAAAGTAAGAGGTGCTGCTCTTTTCATGACTGTCAAGATCAGTGATCTAAGTCTTCCCTTCTCAGGAAGGAAACCAGGAAGTCTTAAATTGTGCTTTGGTTTTCTTAAGAAGTCAGTTCTCTTGTCAGATTCTCTTAGAGTGTTTATGGGAAGTTCATTTTGTTTTAAAATTGAATTTATAAAGGCATACTTGTATTGGGCTTAAATAAGTATGGATTTAGCATTCATTTTGCTTGAATACAGCAAAATGAATGTGGCCCTGTGGATTTTCAAAGAAGCTAAAGCAATGCACTAAATTTCAAGAACTGAAGATCTCAACTCTGAATAGTCTATTCTGAAACTCTTGTCCCTCTAATTTTGTGCCAGTCCTCCGGAAATGCAAATCTGAACACAAATGCAAGTATCTAAGGTTCAAAAACCATTACCTTGAACGAGAACTTTGTATCATGAGCTAATAGAGACACAGAGTAAAACTGACCTTACAATTATCAGCTATAGAATTCTTCCTATTTCAACTAAACCCTGAAATAAGTGAAATACTTGAAGAGAAGAGAAAATGTCATATACCTTGCTTCGAGTTCCCAGAAAGTAGTATCATCAGACAGCCATGGGTTAGAAGGGTCAGGTGGCACAAGAAACGGGTCATATTCTAAATATTGTTCCGTGTAACTTAACAGACTAGAGAGAAAAAACATTTTCATTTTCCTTAGTTTTTCTGGCTGAGGTTATACCCAGCCCAAAGTAAGGAATACAATATAAAAAGGTCTGGCCAAGGAATTGCTTACTTATAGAGAAAATCTAATGGCAGTTTTTATGTTTCAGTAACTTACATGCATCAACTTGTGCATCCTGGAAGGTAAAGTGGCTAAGGAGTCCATGTCTACCCATGCCCAATCCTAGTGAGGCAACACTCTTCCATTCAAATGAAGCAAAATGGAAGGCGTCAGTGTGTAAAAAGCAGTGCTAAAAGTCAGTTCCAATCTTTAGTCAACCAGTCCACCCACAGCTGAATTGATTTTAGCCAACTTGGAGAATGGGTTAAAAGGGAATTTTTGTCAAAAGTATTTACAGGAGTTAGGTAAAGGGCAAAGCATTAACATTTCTTAAAAAATCTGTATTCAAAAAAAGAAAGAAAAGAAAAAGATGGAGAGCAGAGGAAAGAAGTTGGAGAGGTAGGATTTGACAATGCTCCAAAGTAAAGAACACACGTGCCATTAATAACAGATTTAAATGAAGAAATGAAAATATCTAAAATCTGTGTTTAATTCAAATTCTGAAGTCATGCAGTAACTGAAAAGTGTGAATGTTAAGATGAATTTACAGAGAGGCCCTAAGTTGCCAAAAAGTAACTTGATAAATTGAAAGCTTCATTTCTCTCAGCAGGAGTGAAAAATTCAACTCCTTGGAATTGTCTTCTATATCTGATTCTGGTTGCACAGGATTGGATCTCTACAGATTGAAGATAGTAATGATCATTCTGTCATTTAAACTATAACAGAAGAGTTCTTTGGAAGTTTTCTATGTGCAAAATGGAAAAACAAAATAACATTTCTTACAGGATTCCATTTTTAGTGCATTTGACTGTCACATGAATTTTTTTTATTTATAGGGGCATCTTGAAATACTTACCTATCAGCAACTTTTGACATTTTTAACCGATGTCTATCTAACTGTATTTGCCAATATTTAATCTGAAAAGAGTTAAAGAAGTAGTTAAATAAGTAGTGGCATTCTCATAATTTTCAACTCTAAATTCTGATAGACTGGGTAATTCTAAATAAGAATATGTTCTAAGTAAAATTTCAAAAGTCTGAAAAATCAAATGAGACGGCTCTGAAAATTAAAGTGTTTGAATATAAACATAGCCAATATCACTTTAGAACAGCAATGAATTTGAACATTCTGCATACTTTAACAAAATGTAACTTTATTTTTAAAATGTTCTAGAGATTGTAAACATTTATTCATAGTGAATAACCAAATCAGAATCACCCCCCAATATTAAATTCAGAAAATAAATGTATGTGTTATTTGTATTATAATTTCAAAGTAAATCCTACTTCCTAGTACTAGCCCAAGAAAGCATCAATGATACGTGTTTTGGGAATAATTTTATCAACATTTCAGGACAAACACATGGACCTAATAATATATGGAAAACTTTAAAACTCTCTAAATTACTTTCCATTCACTGTGATTATAAATATACTAGAAAAAGTATTATTACACTATTGATAAACCATATCACAATAACATATTAGGGGAAAAGAATAAAAAGGGGAAAAAGCCCCATGACCAAGCTAATCAAGAGATTTCACTATTATTTGATATAAGAGACACCGGTGTTTGCTTTGAAATATTGCTTGGAGGCAAAACTATTGATCAATTAGTGAAACAAGACATGATGTATACCATAACTGAACACCAGTGTTAATGAGGGAGAACTTCGAGAGGCTTATGGAGAGCAGTACCAGGAGAATAAGAAAAAGCACTCTGTGAAGATCATGTCACAAGACTGGACACATAAAACACGTGACTCAACGTCACCAGTTTCTTGTCTTCTCCTTCTTCAAGAAGAGCTCCAGAGTACGAAATAACTCTTGAAATGGAGGCACCTAAACAGCAGTGTACATCCTTTTTAAAAATTGGTTAGAGGATACAGGATTTGGGGAATTAAAGAGTGAAGAGATTTGGAAACCATCTGCATATAGTGATATATTTCCAGGTGACTACATATCTTAAAATTAAATGATTTCACTACCTTTTAACTGCAACTCTTCTCTATGAAACAGTCAACCATACAAATAACCTTCTAAAAAACCCTCCCATTAACATTCACATGTAGTCTTCATAGCTACTATTCTGTAAACCGTCAGCAGGTCATGTTATAGACTGACCCACCTGTTGTTGTAACTCATCTTCTGTTGGAGGTTTCGTTTCTGGTGTGGGTGTGTGGGTAGGACTGTGACTTCTAATGTCATTTTGTAAACCATAGACAGACTATATTAAAGTAAAAAAGAAATATATTAGGACAAAATACCATTTATAGTCACAGACTTTCTAAAAGGTAATTTTGTGTTATATATTCAGCAAGGTAACTCAAAGTTTTGCTGCATACTTGATGAAGCTTCTTATTAAAATTCAGAGGCACTGCTATCATAAATATCATATGAATATAAAATAAAAGCACAGCTCTTTGAAAAAAATATGTGGTTAGATTATTAACTGACAGAATAATTGATTATATGGAAAGAACATGGTAAGTCTGATAATAAAATCTGGGGGTGGACTGAGAGTACTAAGGTGGGGAACAACAACACTATATAACATTTAATAAGTGTTGATTTCAGAATAAAACAGGGGTGGATATAGAATAGAATAAAAATTTAATAAGCCAAAAGAAAATGAAAATAATTTGAGTTTTACAGAATGGAATACTGAGGAGAGAGATGAGGTTAACAATTCTATTATTGATTTAGTCTCGGCTAGTGTGATCAAAGACACCCCAGAGTGCTCCAACTTTCCCATCTCAGCATTTGGTTGTTTACCTCACCGTACTGGCCTTGCCATTCAGTGGCCATTGGGTGCCTTTTGCAAACATCAGTGATCCCAAAGTTTTCACTTTGGAATTCTTGATGCCCCAGTGCTTCTTTTGTATTTTGTCAAAAGGTCAAACCTACTACTTAGGAATATTCTTTTTTGAGAAAGACCTATTATTGGGGGGCTGGTTGGCTCAGTCTGGTAAGTGTCTGCCTTCAGCTCAGGTCATAATCCCAGGTCCTGAAATTGAGCTCCGAGCCCCGAGTTAGACTCCCTGCTCAGCAGCAAGTCTGCTTCTCCCTCTGCCCCTCCCCCTGCTCATTCTCTCCTTTCTCCCTCTCTCTCTCTCAAATAAATAAAATCTTAAAAAAGAAAAGACTTATTGCTTAGTAAATACAAATGAAGATCTGGAGACCTTAAAAAGACAAAAAAATCTTCAACTGAGGGTGAGACATCTCACATGTCAACGCAAGGGAGAAGCCAAATAACTTTTTCTTTAATATCAAAGAATTATTATTTTAAAATAAAGGATTTAATATGAGATATGGAGCACTGTTTCTTTGGACATGAGGATGAAAGGTAAGGACATAATAAAACTTCATGAGCCCACAAAATTAAAGTTACCAGATAGTTTTGGAAGAAACTCTTAAAATCAGAAGAGGGTAGGATCCAGATGCTTAACTGAGCCAATTTTCAGGCTCATCACCAACCTCACCAGTATCTCTAAATTCAAATGTGTTTTATTCTGAACCCGTTTTCACTCTGACTCTATCTTTTCTTAATGTTCACCTGTTGGTTTCATACCTGGACCCTCTGGATGGACTTGGTTTTTTCCTTGTAATTCCCCATTACTTTGCTCTTAGGCTTTCTTCAGTAGATTTTGACTTGGCTTTAACTTACCTGAATCATCCATTTTAGACTATCTTTGTTAAGTCTTTCAATCTGCCCTCTCTTGACCTCACCTCAACTTCTGGGAACTCAGGTTCTATTACCAGGCAACAATTTCAACCCAACGAGCAGCACATATGCTGTGAATTAATTATTAATAGGACTGAACCGAATGGCTTAAATTTTCTCTTTCTTTCATTTAATCATTCAACATCTACTGAACACCTACTATATGCTGGATATAATGCTGAGCATTAGGGATATAGAAGTAAACAAAGATAGATACGTTTTCTCCTCCACTGGAACTCACAACTTAGTGGAGGGAAGCATGTTACACAAATAATCACACAAATAAACACATGATTAAAACTGTGATAAGTGTTATGAAAGAAGATAATAACAGGAGCATAAGGCCTGAAGTACAAGGAGACTTAATTTCCACCAAAGAAACAGAAAAGGCCTATGTGAACTACTAACAGTCATATCTGAACTTTGAACTCTGAAGTAACTGGTGAGGTTGATTTTTAAAAATTAGGCAAGTGAAAGATCACCAATTATTCAATAATCATAGACAATAAATGTAGACATTTTTCAATGTCTACAATTTTTCAGTTGTACTACATTAATTTATGATAAAGAAAATAAAAAGACTCTAAGGCTTGAACACTGCATTCTTGTTTACCTTAGTTTAATTACTTAAAGTCCTTAATAAGAATCTATACTCAAGTAAATAATGCTTATAAGGTAAGAAAGCTGTTTTTTTTTTTATGTTATGTTAATCACCATACATTACATCATTAGTTTTTGATGAAAGCTGACTGTTTTAACAGTTTTTTGGTTAAGATTAAAAATAATTAAAAAGACTGCTAGAAAAATACTGCATTTTATGGTGTCATGGAAGTACACTGATCTATAAACTATCTTCTGCCTCCGCATTTCTATGATTGTTTCCGTATGCATGCATAGCACATAGGCTCAGGAAGTTCCATTAAGAACCAAATCCCTGGGAGGTGGTGTTTAAAGCAGCCCTCCAGCAGCCTTGCTACCAGCTCTGGGCTCTGAGGTTACTATGGAGTTTCCATTTCATGCAGGTAAACATCAGGAGTTCTCTCTTTCATCAGTCAGAATGGCTTTCATTTTCTGGGGAGCAGTGATAGCTTTTAACTTTGATTCTTGGCTACTGTGAAAATGGCCATGAATAATGAAGTTTTATGTACAGGGCTTATTTTAGGGACAAAGGAGGTAGGAAATTGATCCTATTTTGGCAGACAAGTTTTGAGGATCATTTGAAATGTAAAAGGTTTTCATTTTTTTTTAGAAAAAGGAACTATATTAAAATATTGGCCTAGAGTGGGTGGAGTAGAGCTAGCAACAGGTAGGGCTGGAGAGGAAGGGACATGAAATTGTCTCAATGGGGGGAAATAAAATTAACCAATTGGGATCCACTTTGAGTCGTTAGCAAAGCTAGTTACCAATCAAGATGCTTTGACTTGATGAATATACCCATTTATTTAAATCCAGGGTGCCTGAACAAGCTTTTTTCACATAGGGTACCATCCAAATGAATACTGGGTAAGTTATTCATAAAATGAAACAGATCTGACTTTCTACATAAACCCGTTCATATGTGATTTCCCTTCACACCTTAGAAGAAGTCTAAGAAAATGCTCTCCTACTTTTATCTTTGGCAGGCGTTGGGGAGGGGGGGTGCTTTAAAACAGAAAGTAAAGAGTACAGGAAGCTTTTATGCCTTTCTATGTGGAGTGAAATCTCTGGGGTTTTTCCAACTGATGGTGGAGGGAGGGGATCTTTCTCTTTCTTCTGGATTGTTCCGCTCGACCAGACAATGGATTGGGACCACATCTGCTGGTGTGTGGAGGAAACCAGTGCACAAAGAGGGCAGAGAAAAGAGGGCACAGGAGAGTGAGCGAGAACCCTGATGAGTCCCTGGGTCCGTCACCCCTGGGGGCTAACTCTGCCCCGCCAACTCCCAAGGGTTTAGAATATTCCCTGCTTTTTGCTATTTTGAGCAGAATGTTTGTTGCCTGCCACTTGACTGTACTTCTTACTTAAAAGCCTTTTGTGTTACCCTAAGGTATGAGTAGTTTCTTCTGTTAAAATTAAAATTCCACATTATGCATATACAAGTGAGGAAATGCCAATTTTTTCTGTATAAACAGTTTTATGCATAAACAGCCACTGCATTAAAAGCAGGAAAACTAGACATTTAATCATGAATTTCCTAACTGTTCCTCTAGAATGTGCACATTAGCTATTACCTAAAATATGAAGTGTCTTAATGCCTAAATGAAGATGACAGGAAAAAGAAAAGTAACGAGACAAGAAACATCTTACTTTTGTTTTGAAATATGGGTCCTGAAGTTATAGGAAGCAGTTCAACATGTGGGGTTAGTCATGTACATACAAATGCTTTTTTCACTTTCCTCAGGTTTTGTGTTGTCCTAGGGCCCCTCTAGCTATTGTCATATAGAAGGATTCATCCTGTGATGGTTAATTTTATGTGTCAAGCTGGCTGGGCCACAGTGCTCAGATATTTGATCAAACATTATTCTGGATATTTCTTTGAGGATGTTTTTGAATGAGATTAAAATGTAAATCAGCAGACTTTGAATAAAGCCAATGGCCCTCCATAATGTGGGTGGGCCTCATTCAATCAGCTGAAAGCCTGGACAGAACACAAAGATTTCCTCCAAGCAAGTGGGAATTCTGTCAGCAGATGGCATTTCTTCCCTGGGACTCTAGCCACTGGCCTACCTCGTCAGGTTTGGGGCTTGGCAAACCTCTACAGCTGCATGAGACCATTTCTTAAAATAAATCTTTCTCTCTCGCTCTCCCTCGCTCTGTCTCCGTCTTTCTCTCCTGCACCCTTTGGGGAACCCTGACTGATACACAGCCTGACCTATTATAATTAAAGTTTTAGAAACAGACTGAAGAAAATCAGGTACACAGTGGCCCTTAAAATTTGCCTAGATTAGGCTGGTTTCTTTCTGGCTATGCTACATTACGATTCCTTCATAGAAATGTAAGGAAATACATTCCACCTACTTCTTTGTATTTTAGTAAAGATAGATTTAGAAACTGACTGATCCTAAATACTTAAAAATATCTCCAATCAGATGTTCTTCTAAGCCTTCTCTTCATATGTTTGATAAACACTCCAATCCTTGATATTCTTTAGGTACATGTAATGGATTACTGCTTTAAGGATTTACTGGGTCCCTTATTCTTGTTATGATATATCATCATGAGAAATATTATTACAGCTGACTGCCAAAGAAATGAACAGCAGCTCTCTTTGCTAAGGGTAGCATCTGTTTGCAAAAATGAATTACAATCCGGGGGTTCCACTTTCTTACCAGCAGAAGTTTAAAACAGAGGGTGGTCACACCATTAAGACAATGAGCAAAGGACATAGTCGGATTAGCTGTGGAAGGCAAAGACAGTTTCTAAGGTGATAGGCTGGCCTCTGCCATTTCTGTCTAAGGCTTGCAATCCCACAGAATTACCCCCTCCACAAGGACAGAACTGTGAAAACTTCAGAGGGTGGTGGGACAGTTTGTTGTTCGCCATGTATTTTTTGTAATAAAATGGTGTGGTGATTTAGAATCCCAAATCATTCAAATTCCCTTGATAACATGTTATGGACTGAGTTGCATCCCTCTGAAATTCATGTTGGAATCCTAATCTCCAATGTGACTATATATGGAGATGGTGTCTATGAGGAGGTAATCAAGGTTAAAGGAAGTCATCGGGTAGGATCCTAATCCCATGGAGCTGGTGTCCTTACAAGAGGGACAGACACCCGAGCTCTATCTCTGCCATGTGAGGACACAGCAAGAAGGCAGCTGTCTACAAGCCAGGAAGAGAGCTCTCACCAAAAACCCAACTTGATTTGGGACTTCTAGTCTCCAGAACTGTGCGTAAATGAATTTCCATTATGTAAGCCACCCAGGTTGTGGCATTTTGTTATGGTTGCTTGAGCAGACTAATACATACCACTTAACACAATTACATGGTTATAGATGTATAGACATTTGTCTGCTTCTTCACTGTGTGCACTCTCATTAGACCATGAGCTGTGGGAACAAGGTCATGCCTGCCCCATTTACCATCGAATATCTAAAAAGCAGTACATACCTGGCATAAAGTAGAGACTTGTTAAATCTGACTGAATGAGTCATTCCAGTTACTAACCAAATATGAGCTAATGTAGCAGTGGTCATAATTCTATAGGACAAATCAGTATGTGACTTAGAGTCCTATAACTTTCTATGTAAAATAACATGATTTGTGAAGATTCTAGCAAATTCAACACTTCTGACTCTGAGACTCTATATATATATATAGCGTCTGATATATATATATATATTTGATGTGTATATATATATATCAAAAAGTGAAAAAAAAATCAGCATTCTCCAGTTGTTGAAGACAAAGGCATACATGCTACTTGCTGTAGCATTCTTCAGAATTTTTGTTTTTCTCTGGTAATTTCAGGCTATGGAGCTCTGCAGTTCTACCATTATCGATTCACAGGAAATTAGACCACAACTGAGACAGTTAGAGCTCAGTGATTCCAGCTCTATAGCATTTCACCTTGCTAGGCCTGCTATTTTCCCATCATTAAGTGAGGGCTGATAGTATGTGAAGCACAGCATTACCAATTAATGCTTTTCAAGTTTTCAAAAAGCACAATGCCATGTGTAGCGCTGGTAAGACATCAATACCATGTAGCATTAAGAACACAGTGTAAATGATGGCTTTCTTATCTTTAAGTCCTATCTGTCCATCCATATGCTTTCTCTTCTGAGTCAGAGCATATCTCAGTTGGTGTCTGTTGGGAAAGCTTGACACAGAGTAAGGTATTATGAAAAGTAATTCTTCAAAATTCAGAAGTAGTGATGGGTGGCTGAATGTGCTTTTTGGAGAGATGATTGCAGCTCTGAATGCTGTTCCACAGCACAAAACCAGTCCCCAGTGGCCTGAGGCTGTGCGTTGCGTAGAAGAGGGAAGGAACTGCGTGAGGCCAGTCACAGGAGAGCAGGGCCAACAAGCCTGGTTTGGTCTGGCTTTGCCTCTTTCTCTCAGAGAGCTCCTAGTGGCAAAAGTTCTGGAGCACTGCACCTGAGTGGGTTTTGTGGCACTTTTCCTATGACTTCTTTATCCTGACATCAAGGTAAACTGCCTTAAAAGAAAGAAAAGGTACTTGGATCATATTGGGGCCTCATGATGTTCATATTTCTAAGGATGGAAGAAAAAGACAACAAGAAATAAGACTACAAAAAAAAATGATTAGTGCTTATTGGAAAACCCTAATTCTACATAAGGAAAAAGCCATGAAAAGGAAGGTCTTGAGCTTTGTGGAATGCTTTAATCCAGTGGTGCCAACCTTGGTCTGTGTCCTCAGCTCAGAAATTCTTATGTGCATCAAGTGTTTTTCATGGAATGAATAAAAATGCTTTCTGTGTGTATGTGCTACTTTAAAAAATATGGAGGTACTATTGCTGTGTATTTTCAAGAGATTATTTAAAATGTCACTGAATTCTGGATAGCTTTTTGTTTGTTATGTATTCTCTCACATAACAGACACCAAACAAACATACAATCACTATCTTATGGTTGTGTCACAAAATTCTGGTGTTAAAAGGGGATCCTCATACAAACTCTGTAGTTATATGTCTTTATGACGTCCCTTTTCCCTTCATAATTTTCTCTAAAAATGCCCTTCTCTCATCAATATCACTTTTTCTCAGATAATCTCCATCTGTGTTTCCTCATCCCATGGGCTCTGAAAGAGAAGCCTTTCTCTGCTGATGATCCTTCCTTTCGATGGAGAGAGGAGGTGCCCTCAGCATCCTTGCCCCCCATCACAGCCCCCTGCATGCCCTGGGACCTGTGTGTGCTGGAGAACCATGATAGGAGTACTTCCTCAGGACAGATGGACTGACAGAAGACCAGGGTTTGAGCTGCCAGATTTTCTTCTAGCCAAGAACAAGGAAAAGCAAGGAAGTTGCTAGAAGATATTCCAGGAAGTGGGCAAAAGGTTTTTGACTGATGTCCTCCAAACAGTGCAACTCATACCAAGATCAGCACAGCAAACATGGATATTACCTTCCGTGTTTTGTGTGGGTTTCTCATTCTGGATGACTTCTTAATGTCCACTTCAGTGGTATTTACACAACCAGGCTGAAAATGGAAAACAGAGAGACAAAGGAATCTTTGAGGGTGAAGTTTTTGATCCATGCATTAATGACTTGCCTTCCAGGTCCCTGGCAACTCTTTCTAAATGGCCACAGCCACCCTCTCAGCAGAGCCAGTAAAAAAATATATTATACTCTCACTCCTTGCATAAGAAGGACTTCAGATAACATTCTCAAATAACTTCCAGAAAAACAGGGAAAAGAAATGCATGGGCCTTGCCTGTGAAAGTGGGTGTTGACATTGGTAGTTGCTAAGCCAACAGATTCAGAGCAAGGGTGTCCAAAGATCAAGTGGATCATAGCCCAGCTGGTACCTGCACACAGCCCTGCTCAAAGTGCCTCTCTATGTGAGGTGACACTGTTATTAAAGCTATTTACTTCCCAAGTTGGAAAATTACAATCTGTTGACCTAGCTCAAATCCCAGAATGAATTTTTTTTTACAGTGATTCATGAAATCGGGGTACTGGGAATATTTGCTTTCCATACACAGAATGGGAGTGTGGGCAGCCTGCTACTGGTTCTCTGACAACCTCAAGAGTATCATTTTGCCAGATTTATTGTTCTGTTGCACAGAAATAGAGAGCTGTAAAGCTTCCTTTGTATTTGGAGGAGGAGAGGGAAGGAGGAAGAAAAGAGAGAGAGGGTGGGGTGAGGAGAAGAGGAGGAGAAAGAGATGCGGAGGAGGGAGAGGGAGGAGAGAGGTGGTAGGAGAGATGATGAATCAGGAAAAAGAGAAGAAAGGAGATTCCAGAATACAGGAGACCTGATATCTGCAAAGATATCACTTAGTCTTTAGAAGTAATTGGAAGGAAGTGTTTATATGGATTGTGTTTCACCAACTTTCAAGTTTTGGTACCAGATATAGGGATCTCTGGTACTAGTCAGAAGTATTATGTTGTACAACTCCGCTCAGTTTCTCTGTTTTTTTTTTTTTCCCACAGATTGCAAGATCATTAAAACATCAGATATACCTGAAAGCAACTCCAGAGAAACCGTGAATGTGGAAAAAGACTTTTGTGCAGTTGGGATGTTGTGGGAGGGGTAGGGGCAAAAGGCAGCACTGGTGTGATTCCAGAAATAAGCTGTTCTCTACACTCACTGGCAGGCAAGGGGGTTCACTCTCTATATAATGAGGACATGGGGCATTTTCTTAAACCACCCTGTCCTGACAGCACGGCCACTGGGGCAAAACTCCACCATAACAGTGTAAGGGATAAAGAAGTAAGCAAAGCCTTTTTTCTTGATTTTTTTCCCCTACATATGTTGCATGTGAAATATATATACCACAAACACATAAACACACACACACACACACACTGCACTAAAATGTTAAATAAATCACAAATTTGGTTTGCATATCTATATGGAAATAGCTGGTTCAGCACCATGGTCTGCTTGGCAGTATAGCAGGAAGAGCACCCACCTGGATTTACTAACTGACACTGAGCAACTCACTTTAGCTACCCCAGCATCAGACTGATCAATATCTGATATTCTGATTTAATTTTTCTGTGGCTCATTGGCGCATGAGTATTTTTTAAAAGACCCCTAGTGATTTTGATATGCAGCCAGGATTCACAACCATTGATCTAGATGTAACAAAATAATGTTTTGAAAATATTAAAGCAATATTAAAGTGTCTTCATTTCCTATTAGATTTCCATTTCCTTGCAACCTTCCACATGTAAGCCTCAGTCCATTAGGAAGGCAAAGCACTGAAATTCTTTAAGCTCTTACTGATTCATCAAGAGCCAAGCATGGCAAGACAGATCATAGAGATCTTCTTCTATATGTTAAGAGGTAGGAATAATGAGGATATGATATAGAGGAAAAAGGGAAGGCATGTCCTTCCAGGAGCTGGAGAAAAAGAGACGATTTATTATTTATTCAGAACCATTTATTTCTGCATCTAATTGCCAGATCTTGTGACAAATGGTAAAATACAAGGATGAATTATAATCTTCTAATATAATAAGCATAATAAAATGTCAATCAGCACAATGTGGGAGCACAGGACTGGAGAGAAGTTGGCCTGGGCATTATGCAATGAACATTTCATACATCCATTATTATGCACATCCTCTTGTTTCTCACCAACATGGCAGATAAATATATATATTTTTAGTATTTGAGCAAATTTGATCCCAATAAGACCATGTGGTCTTTGGTTATTTTAAAAAGGCAGTCATAAAAAAAAATAATAAAAATAAAAAAAATAAATAAAAAGGCAGGCATCCTTTTAAGGCGTATATATACGCCTTATATATATATATACCACTAGCTGGCACCAGGTCCATGTGAAATGTTATGCCTAAATTGGTTTTCTGCACTACTAAACACAGCTTCCCAATAAGATATAAATAACATTACCATTACCAAGTAAGCACTCAATACAAATGTTCAAATATGTACTACTGACCAGATATAATATTAAGTTCATAGTATTGTTCAATTTAAGGACTAATAATGAAGTAATATTTACATTGGCCTAGAAAAGAATCATAAGTTACTTCTAGCGACTCAAAGGTGCATTTATTCAACAGAATTAAGCTGTGTTATGACATTACTGTAACACTATTTATTAAAAAGTAGAATTTAATGCCTTGGAATCCATTCCTGAAGTAGTAAAAGGATCATATTATTGAGCAATATTACTGCCATAGTGTTCAAGTAAGTGTCTTAATGAGTTGCAAAGCAGAGCTATTGTGGCTTCATCACTGATTTTACTTAAAAGAATCTGAATACCATTCAGTTCCCATCATGGCAAAATGCCATTATTAGTTGTAGCAGAAGGCACACTGTGCTCAGGATAACTAGGGAAACTTGAGGACTCTTCAGTGAAGAGCAGCATGAAGAGACAATAATGGAGAACTACTCTCTTTAATTCAGTCCCAGCAGCTGAAGTGAAACTGGGCAAAACAATGTCCTAAATGACAATGGATGGAGATTTAAGAATGAGCTGGCAAACAGAACTGATAATAAGAGACATCCATATTCCTGGAAATTAGGAAAAAGATATGATTCTGGGAAAATTAAGGTTTTGAATATTGACTGTTGAAATATTTTGAATAATTATTGGTTCAAATGTGATTAAATTACTGGAAATATTTGTCATTTTGTAACACAGTACAAGTTTTAAAAGTTCAATTTGTCATGTATTGTACCTCAATCATGATTCCTTACTCTTATATAAAGTGATTACAGATTTCAGAGTGTTCTATCTCAGGATATATTTTTTTAAACATCTAATTGAAGATTTTATTTCTGTTCTTGGGTCAGCTGGGCTTACTAAATGCTATATGTGAAGGAAGTTGTTTAAGGTGACTACTCTGGAATTCCTTCTATTCAACCTCCTCTATAATATTTATTCATTTGATTACTACTCCATCTTATTTGCTGGACACAGAGTCTGGATTATGTGATCCGGCTTCAGTGTAGGCTGTGAACGAATTCTGAGAGTCCACAGACAGAAGGAAGGCTCTGGCAGCAGAGGGGAGGGAAATGTATGATGGCTTGGAGCTGTGGATAGTGGTCAGGTCAGGTAGAAATTGCAGCTCATGGTAAGGACTTTGGTTTAAGTCTAAAGGTAAGTGGAGGTCATAAGGGAAATGATTTATATTTTTAAAAACTCACCTCTCACAAAAATTAACTCAAGACAGATCACAGACCTAAATGTGAAATGCTAAACTATAACTCCCCCTAGAAGATAAGCATAGGAGAAAGTCTAGGTGACCCCGAGTTTGGTGATGACTTTTTATATACAACAACAAAAGCATACAGTCCTTGAGAGAAATCATTGGTAAATTGGACTTCATTAAAATTAAAAACTTCTGCTCTATGAAAGATAAGCCAGACTGGGAAACAACATTTGCAAATGGTATATCTGATGAAGACAAACATACAAATATACAAACAACTCTTACAACTCAACAATGAGAAAATGAACAACCCAATTAAAAAATGGGTAAAAGGTCTGAACAGACACTTCACTGAAGAAGATATACAGATGGCAAACGAGTGTATGAAAAGATGTTATACATCATGTGTCATTAGAGAACTTCAAATTAAAATAAAGTTGAAATACCACTACACACTTACTAGAATAGCCAGGATCCAGAGTCCTGACGACATCAGATGCTGCAGGGCAGGTGAAGCAGCAAGAACTCTCATTCCTTGCTGGTGGGAATGCAAAATGGTACAGCCCTGTAGTGGAGGCCCTGACAGGTTTTTTTTTTTTTTTTTTGTAATGCAAATGCATGATTCAGGCTTTGATGATTGAGCAACCATTTCAGAGAGGCACTCATTTCAAAGACTGCTATCTCAAAGAAACACATCTTCAACCACACCACTAGATAAAAAGGCAGGCTGCCTCCCACACCAAAGTTCCTTTGTTTTAGAGATCTTGGTTGATCTCAACACCTGATCATCTTGGCTACTTGTTTTTGTTTTATTTTTGCTCTTTCTCTTCCATTGCTTTAAATTCCTGCTATTGTGTTTTAAATTCATCAATAAAGAGTGAGCCTATGAAGCCCTAAGCCCCCACTGGACCCTAGTAAAAGCAGTACCAGGCCCATGTCCCCCCCTCCCCTCAACCTCATTACGTGGTCCCCAATGTGCTATGTAATTAACAGGTACTGTAAGTAATAAACCTTTATTTTTTCAAAGTTTCCTGATAGCTGTTGTGGAAGGGCAACTTGCAGTAACAATAAGAACCACAGGGTTGATCCACCACAACACTGGTTATTGACAGGTTGAGACCAGCACAAAACAAGCCACTTTGGAAGAGTTGTTTGGCCGTTTCTTAGAAAATTAAACCTCTTTTTCCAACTGATCCAACAATTGTACTCCCTAGTATTTATCCAAAAGAATTGAAAAATTATGTCCTCACAAAAACCTGCACATGGATGTTCATTGCAGCTTTATTCATAATTGCCAATTATTTATTTATTTATTCATAATTGACATCCTGCAGTAGGTGAATGGAT